ATAAACCAGCTGAGGGAATCTAATAACATATTACTGTTTCTCTTGCTTGACTCCTTTGCTTTAATACAGTTCTCGTTCTGGCTTTCTCACTAGGGATATGACAAATAAGAAAATTTTATTAAAAGGTTGCATGTATTTCTTAACAAGCATCAAACAAAGCTGATTTTTGTGAGGTTATAGGAGCAGAATGCTTATGACTGCAGACAGCACCTGCTGCTGATGGAGAGCAAGAAATGCTGAGGTCTTTTGCCATTCTGATTATTTTCTCAGGATGCCAAAGAGAGTACAGACCTCGTGCAAAACCTGGCCCTAATAAAGCAGGCCCTTCTTAAAAGCCAGTGTCCTGATGCAGAGAAACAGAGGCAAGGGCTGCAGGGAAGGATGTTAGCTTTGTTCACATGGGAGTACAAGAGGGACAGTGGGTCCACCTATTTATCAAGGGAAAAAAGCAGAGACTACACAAGCACACATAGTAGTGGACTTTCATGCTCGTGTAGCCCTTTCTGCTTGATAAATGTGTTCTTACATCTAAATATATTTCTTGGTGTGGCTGTGTTTGCCTAATTTCCCAGATCCCAATCTCTCAGATACCACCAAACCAGTTTCCTTTCCTCTAAATGTAAATTATATGGTTAGTAGGAAAGGGGTACCTTAGAGCCAAAATACGGGACTTACTTTTCCTCCAATAAATATGCAGATGCTGGGAAAGAAATCCTGAAGATGAATGAACAATTCATCTCAGCATTACACTCATTCCTGAAGCTTTCTCTGTGTCCACTTATCTGTGCATTTTCTAGGTGATAGAGGCAATGCTAGCTAAAATGTAGGCATATTTGCTAGCTTTGATGTTTAACAGGAGCTAAATCTATGCCTGAATTAGAGTTTAAATCCACAAGCACCATAAAGGCTTAACGGCAAGTGCCCACAGCTGTACACACTAAATCAGACTTCCGTGTAAAAAATATACACAAGTGCTAGTATGCATGGATTTAAATACAAAGATACAGGTCCTTGCATGTGAGTTAGTGTAGACTGAAAGTTCTCTTCACCTACTTATACAGTGCTGCCTGCTTCAAGAACACTAAAATTGAGATAGTTTTGTTTTCTACATGAAAGAATGTGATGTACTTAACTGTATAGCTAAATTTTGGCAACAAAACTAAAAGACCTGTTTTGTCATTAGAAACCCCAAGATGGCAATACAGTCTTGTTTTTCTTTGCTGCTTATTTATATTATTATCATCACAATTATTATATTGCAGTGCATGGAACAGATTTGTGATTTTCTCTTTTGCTCACATCTAAAAGCCTTGCTGATTACTAAGGATTATTTATACAGAAATGGAAAGCTCCAACCACTTTGACATTAAATGAATGAGTAAATGCTATGCATGACCCAGAGGTATTAAAAGATTCCATTTAATAACGTTAACAAATAGATATCTCCGCTCAAGTTTTCCTTCCTTTTACACATGCATGTGACTTACAACCCTGCTAAAAAATCTATACTTCCGTATTATTTTCAGCTTAGCATGTAACATATATCCACATATATTACATTTTCAGGCAGTAGCCTATATTGATTTTCTATATACTAGTCACTTTTGAATGAATTCACACCAGTACACTTATCCTTTTCAGTGTTCAGATACTTTTGACAGGGCCAAGGTAATCCATTCTGATGCATAAACTTTTGTTGCCGAGAACACAGCAAGTGATAGCAAACATTGTTCACCTTGATGCCTGATGAGAGATATTAAATATTTATCAAATGTGCTACTGCCCATGACTGCTGCCCAGGACTTTATAAATTCATATATTCCATAGCAAATGAAAAACACAAAGGAAAAAAGGGGTTGATTTCAAGTGTATTAGCCGGTATGTGCTGGGCCAGTAAGACATGTATGCACAGGGCTGTATGGAGATGAAAGGTTAGATGCTCCCAGGAAAGTCACCCACATGCCAGCCCCAGCCTTGTTAAGTATCAGGCTTAACAACAGGGAGCTCAAGTAATTCTGGGTAGGAGCACAGCCTTCCACTCAACCAGTTTTTCTGAGTTCAGTTTATCCAGCTTTGCACTGAAAGAAATTAATTTCCAATAATAGGTAACATGAATGAAAAATTATAGTGGAGTAGTGCGTAAGGAAAGATGCCGGCAACATTAGTTAAGACTAATGCTATCAAGAAAACCAAAGAAGTAAGAACTGCTTAATACTCAGACAATATTACTTAAAATATATATAAAAATCATATTAGACCCCTCCAGGGTCATTACAGTGTTAGAAAATAATGAAGATATAGGTGGGGGGATCTTTGATGTTCTGTCAAAGTTTTCTTTGTATGCACATGTTGGTATATATGCACACATACCTACGTAATATTTTTATATATGTAAGTATGAATGTATGTGGCATGCAGAGAGAGAGAAAATCTCTGTGAGTATACTGCTTTAGAATAACCTAACACAGCAGAAAGAGCAGTTATGCAAACAAGGCCAAATTGTCATCATAACATTTTGCAGTCGTCTGAGGACAGGGAAGGCAACGGCTGGTATGCTGACTGCTAAGTCCAGGACTCAGTACTTTCTGCCTTAACAACTGGCTGAAATCATACATAAGAAAATGGATCACAAAATTAATTTTATAAAACCATAATATTGGGATATTAGAGTCATAATTCTTTGAATAAAATCTGTTTCCTCTGGAAGAGAAACAAAAGACATGACAAAGTACTCAGTGCAATACCCTTTTTTCTGCCTTTTTATCTTCTCTAAACAGCATTGCCACTTTAATACAAATTTTGAAGAAGTAGCATTTAAATGCGAAATCACATGGGAGGACTACACTGTATTGTTACTGAGATGTAAAGAGCTGTTTATTTTAATTTACTCTCCACTGGAAGAATGATGCCTAGAACATATTTGTGTGGATGACTAAAGGTACCCTCAAATTTCTGCTGGGAAACAAAAAACACACCTTAGGAGAAAGACGCTTTCCTGATGGTTACTAACCTTCCTAGAACAAATATTTTGAAACTAAGGTAACTAAAACCACAGGAAACCATAAATGTATTTGTTTCCTCTGAAGATTACTCTGATAAAAGAAGAATAAAGGCTCTTCTGTGACCGATTACAAAAGTCAGAGAAAGGGCTCATCCACACTATTCCTCGAGGCAAATTAATGCTGTTCCCAGACTTGGCTGAGCAGTCAAGAAGTGAGAGGGGAGAAGGGACTGAATCACCCTGTCACATCAGGAGGGTAGCTAGCTAATCCTGCACTGACTGAGCTTCTGAACTACATCTGAAAGGGCAGGATGAGGTGAGCTTGTACTGCCAGATGATATTCTGTATGTGTCGTGCATTTCCATGCAGAACCTTAGTTCCCAGTACTGTGTCTGGCAGCTTTTAAAGCACTAAATTTACCTATAAACTAAAAAGAGTTTTATTGCTTAAACATTCCCTTTTATAACAGAATGCTGCCAATACCTCCCCTGCCCAACAACCCAATCATAGATGGTTCCTCAAGAAGGCTGTTTTATTTTGCATAAGCTGCTTTTTGCAGGGGGAGTGTGTAAAAAGGGAAGGGCACAAATAAATTCATTTCAGTTCAGTTGCATTTATGTTGAGTTAAAAAATCAGCTGAAGGGTGAAAAAATTCTTTGTGCAGCAAATTGGGATTTACAGGGATTAGAGTCATGTGTTTAGGGTCTGGAAAAGCATTTGTTTTGTATCATTATAGCCGGATTTATGGATTAATTAATGGAATGGTGATGTGAGGAATTGCTTTTGATTTAATACAGAAACACATCAGATGAATCTATTGGTAGTTTTGGAGTGATGGGCCAAAAGAGTCCCATTAATACACATGGATAGCTGACTTCAGCCTGCTTGAATTCAGCAGGATGGTTCAGCATGATGGGTGGGCAGATGCTAAGCAGTTTGTTAATGCAGTGCTGTGATAGAAATTTCCAGGCTGATTTACATTCTTTATAATACAGCAAAAGACATTAAGACTGCTTGCAGTGAGAGTGAGGCACTCTTCCTTCAGCATGTTTGTTTTACATAACACTTATTTCTAGTCCTCTGTCAGAAATACCTGCAACTCCTAAATGATTCACATATTTGTAAGGTATCCCCATGCACCCAGAAGACACTAATAAACTGACAACTTGAATGCACACAGTAAATGAGAACTTGAACTGTGTAATGTAAGCACTAGCAGAAACACAGGAGAAAAAGATACATCTGTGGAACCTAGTTACACATTCCAACTTCACATGTTAGATTAGCAGATAGGATCTGTCACATCAGAGGTTCAGAAATGCTCATTCCCAAACTTTGCAAACATTTTTCTTTGAAATCTGAACTGCTTATGTGAATTAATTGCATTTCCCTTGCATAATGCCAACTGATGTTGCTAAAATTGGAGGAAAATTGGGATGCAGGATAGAAGAATAATAGGCATATATGGGTAGAATATACCTACCACATATAGACCTGCTAAAATTGTTACAAAAGCAATGACAAAAAATTAGCATCTGTTATCTTTTCCCAGGAATCCAATATCTTGTTGTTCAATAGTAGCCATTATTTTATATTATGTTCTGCATGCAAGGCAAGATGTATTCCACCTTGAGAAACATCAGGAGACATAGACTTCAACTTCACAAAGCACATGCTTTTTTAAAAAAACTAAACTGCTTGAAACAGCATGGTCATATGCCTTCTGAATCCAAAAGAGGGACCTGGACATTTGAGGAAGTGGTCCTTCCCCCTCCCTCTAGTTTATAAGTAATTCCACATTTAAATATATCAAATTAAGTGTGAATACCGGTATTGAGCACCTATCTAAAACTGTAGATGGAGATCTTTTAGTCAGAAGGGCTTAAAAGAAATTGTGGTGAAGATTAAAACAAAACTTGAGCAAATTTAGAAACCTCTCACAATCAAAGAGGAAGGAAGATGGACTGCTGTAACATGCACAGACATTTGTCAGATATACCTGCTTGTGAGCGTGGTCATAAGAATTGATGTGGTTGTCAAATTCCTGGTGTTTGTGGTACTGCTTGTCACATAGTTCACAGTAGAAGTTAGCTTTTACATCTTCCAGAGCCTTGGCTGCAGCTTTCTCCTTCTCAGCATAGTCCTGCAAAGGCAGAAGCAAAGGGAGACACTTTGCTAGAGATCACGAGCTCATGCTTCAGCAGCTGGTTTTGTCATCCACATTAAAAACACTAGACTGACTAGCACTGTTAGATCGTTGGTTTCCAGCGCGTACACACTAAGGAGGTTTTGGTTTTAAGTTGGGTTTAATAAAATAGTTGTGTTTCTTGAATAATTATTCTTAGTGCTTGTTGTAGGTACTGCAGTAAGAAAAGTAGAGAGGAGTGGAGTGCAGAGGAATACCATCAAGGTGCTGTCTAGCTCCTGGGCAGGAGAACTGAGTGGTGAAGAACACATAAACAACCAGGGTTAACCTGTTAACTGCCACAGAATTCCCAGTTTGCACCAGTGTGCTCTTTCAGGTACTATTCCTCAGAAGAAAGAAACTAGCTTTAGTCTGATAATAAGGCAAGTTTTGGTTTTTTTATTGTTCTGCTTTCTACCTTCTATGAAACATTCAGCAGGGCCAGGCAGCAGCTGGCTATGGCTGTCTGAGATTTCCCTGGAGCAGAGGCATGTCAGCATGAGCCTTTTCTGTGCCACCGTGTTCCTTCCCCACATCTGTATGAGGGGACCTGCCATCCAGCCCACTCAAACTGAATGTAACTGTCACCTGCCCAGCACAGACCACAAACACTGACAAGAGAATTAACTCATGTCCAGGCGTGGGAAAACACAGATGAAAACAGGGAAAACACAGTTACGTCTTACAAAGTCCCCATCTATGTCTCCCTAGTGACTCAGGTGGGTGCTCTGGAGAGCCAAGTACTTTGATTTCAATATATAATATTAGGTAAAAAGAGAAAACTTACAACATAGGAGCCAAATGTTACTGAGCCCCAAATAATGCACTTAAACAAGGGTCCTGATATTCAAAATTGGCAGCAGCTTTGCCAGTCTTCTTTCTTTTACAAGTCCTTCATTATACTGTTAATATTACAACACTTTCTTGAATGTTTTACATTAGAGGTCAAAGAGTAAACTTCTGACATGGAAAAGATGAATAAAAATGTTGGTTATAACTATTCATTTTATATTCTTATTGACAAGTTCATATTACTTGAATGTATGTAATTTATTGTTGAGGATTGCAGTAATTCATCATTTACTGTATCGTTTTACTCATCTAAAGAAAAGGGTACTTGCTGCCATCAGGCTTTCCATGCTATGCAGTCAGTTCTGTCTGCTGTCAAATTCAGAGTACACCAAACCTAGGACATGCTGCACGTCTGGGACACCCTGCTCTTAGCACATCAGCCTGCCCAGCATCCTTCCAGGGACCACACCAGGGTGGAGGCAAGCCTTTGGACACAGCGGATCAACATTAATGCACATTTTGAGACTTTCAGAGGGGGAAGGACTTCTTAATGAGTGTGACATGTTTTAAACCTGAGACTTGACCAAGCAGCAGGGGTGCTGGTTGTCAGTGTAACACACGGAGCTTTGGACAGCTCTGTGCTCGGAGTCCTTTTGTTCTGCCCTGGTCTTTACGCCCTCAGGTCTGTATGAGTAGGTCTTTCTCACACGGTACTTTAAAAGCTGTCATTGCTAGTGAGATTAAGTTCACCTAAACTAGACTGTTTAGAAGTTAGGTATGTGGTCTAAGGCAGTATCCTAAGCTTCCTCTGTAAGAAACAGAAAAATGATAGCCACGGCCAAATGATTATTAATTCCATCTATTTCAAAAACCTATTTTAGGATGAGATGAAACTCTCCAGAGGTGTTATCTCTCTCTGTCGACCACTGCAAGGCTCTAAATTACTAACCTGGACTACATCCTTAATTCTTAGATTGCTGAACTCAGAGGTAATGAATTCTATATTGTATTTCTTTATATTCAGTTCTAAATCTCCCCATGAAACTTGCATGAACTGACCTGTTTGAAGACATTAGGTCAAAGATGAATTTTGTGCCTGGAATTTGGATTTTACATCCAGATGATGCCAATGACATGTCAGTCCCTCACACAGGGCAAACATCCAAATAAATCTCTTTCTTGCATGCATATAGCTCAGGTGGGTTAGTATACTGTGGTATACTCAGATTGGACAACTGTGAAAAGAGGTAATCTGAGCTAACATTTCATCACTTGAGATGCTGATCAACAATGGTAGTTAATACTTGATTTTATCAGGGGGATATACTTTTGCAATCAAATAGTTAAACAGCTTTCATTAGTTATTTAAATTTACAAAAGTCCATTAAAAAGTGATACTTTTCAGATTATGCTTCAGACCCATTGTTTTGATAGCATTAATTATTCACTGGGCCTTTGGTATAATTAAAATGCATAAATTAGAATGTGGATGCAATAGCATTAATTATGCAGATATGTCTTCCCTAGAAGTCAAGTGGTGGAGGTAACATATTTTTGTCATGAACTGGTAAAAATGTAAGTTTTACATTCACTGGCAGCCATCCAAAGCATAATACTTTTTTTGCAGTTTTGGGGTTTTTTTCCAGGTCTGAACTGTCAATTAAATGTTTACAGCCTGCTTGATCTTTGCTTCTGTTGAAGGAGAAGCCGCGTTGTTTGTTGTGAACACGCCACATGACTCTGTGAAGCACAACTGAAACTGCTGCTCATGAACATTCCAAACTGCCAACTTTATCTTTCTAAGCAGAAATTAATACAGTTCCCTTAACATAAAGATTTTTTAAAATAGCAACAAGGCAGCTCCCAGGTGCATCTTAAGATAATCACAACTACCTCCATTGCCTTATTGCTTAATTATGCTTGTCTACCATGGCAAAAGATATAATTTCCTGCTTGCTTATCGATCAGATGCAGGGAAATTGAGTGCTACATCACATGCTTTAGAAAGGTCATGGATTTTTCTTTCTCTACAAAGGCAGAAGAACTTCTAGCACTACAATAAATTGTGCATGCATAGTCAAATGAATTTTCACATCCAGGCTGCTCATATCATCTCCCTAGGACTATAGAGACTGGTGTCAGTTCTGGCATAATAAATGCAATCACATGAAAGAAAAGCTGTAGAATTACATCTGTAGAAAACATGTGATCATGAATGCCTGATTACACCAATGCAGACACAGGAAAGCAGGAAAGATAGACTAATGCATTTTGAACAGGGGACCACTGATGCTAATGAATATGTGTGTCCGTCTCCTAAACTTTATTCTGGATCACATGCTAGTTACTAACAACATATAGCCTAGGTAAACATGTTTATACTTATAAGAGTTCTGTCTTTGAGCCATGTAAAACAGTAAGTGCAAGCTGATGTCAAGGATGATGGAGTCATCATAGGTAAGAACTAGAAACCATGGGTTAACCACCTTCTGTGCTGCTGGATGCAGATAGTACACTGTATAAGGATAAATGAGTGCAGAATATACCTGAATGCATAATTTTCCTAGAAGCCTGCAAAATGGTTCCATATTATAGATTGTAATTACATTCACATCAATTTGGCACACAGAGGCACATAACTGTAATAATTGTTTATATATTGGATTAATTTAAAAAGAATACTTCTTTTGTGCGTTAGGCTGGAAATGCTTTCACTTAGCAGCTACTTTTGCAGTACGCTTCTTACTGTGAAAATGGAATTAATGGTATCTGACATTTCATTTCCTAATATAGGGAAAATCAATGAAAAATCCCATGTAACTGAGTTTTCTAGAATGTTGCCACTGACACCTAGTCAATTAGAAATCATTTATTAAATCCAGAGTCTGTAAGAGATATTTAAGAGACTGCATGGCCACTAAAGTATGCTGATCTAGAAAAAACAATACCACATTGCCTGTCTCAGTAACTGATAGTAAATATTTCTGCTGTGGTCAAATGGACTAAGGTGAAAAGTAGGTCAGCTGATACAGTAAAACTTTCAGAGGCAGTTTCCTGCAGACCCATGGATTTCTAGAAATATAGCGGAGTAAATGCATAGTGCTTGCAAATAACATGAGAAAAATATAACATCAGTAGCCCACTTTTGGTCACTTATTTCTAAATTGGAATGCAAGATTAGTGACAGAACAACTAACTCACATTAATGCAGAGCTCAGTAAGTGACAGACTGCTCCCTCTTTGGGGACATAAGCAGAGCTGTTAGAGTTTGATAACTTAAATATAATTCTGTGAACCGGATTAGATAAGAGTGCAAGTATTAAATACTGATGCAACTACTGAGGTGCCTCTTGGGGATTCTCAGACTAGAGGTTAAAGGAATAGGACAAATATAAGCACATGAATAAGCTACAGAATTATATTCGATATCTACTAATTTTTAGTACATTTTCATTAGTGACCTACATGACAAAATGAACTGTGATTATGTATCAAATCTATGAATGATATTAATTAACAGCACAGGGCATATAAATGCTTTAGAGACCAGGATCAAGATCTAAAATTACTGTAATAAGCTTGAGATATGGTCTGAAATCAGCAAGATAAAACTCAATAAGATGTGTGTCAAGTGCTACACTTTGGAGGGGGAAATCACTTTCACCAATACTAGATTGTGAGTAGCTGAGTAAACACAAATGCAGAGGAAAAGGTGCAGGGCGTTAGAGTGGAAAAGAAATTAAATGAAAGTCAACAATGAAAGTCAAGGCAAATCACATTCTGACATGTTAATAGTAGTGTTATATGTAAGATGCTGAGGGTAATGATTCCACTTGATTCAGTATTGGTGAAATGTCAGCTGTAAAATACTATTGGGTACATCTACACCAGCAAATAACTTGGCTCCTGGAATCTGGCCCTCTATCATCCCCACTCCGTGTGTGATAGTTCATTCTCAGGCTTTCATTTCAGAGTAAACTTGCTAGTTCCATTTCAGATAAAAATGACTGCAGTTCTAGAAAAACATTGAGTTCAGGGACCACACTTTACAGGCAGCAAGGATGAGACTTCACTAGGCTCTCCATGCCATGTATAGTCTTCTAACAACCATCAAACTGCATTCCCCCAGGCATTCCCATCTCATGGCCCTCTTGAAGGCAAGAAAC